GCCCGCCACAGCGCCCGGCTATTTTTTGGTTGCAGCCGTCATTGTTGTTTGGCGGGCCTAGGCTGGATTTGAACCCGCAACCTTAGGTGTATGTAGCTGGTGCCTTAGCCACTTGAGCCACAGGCACCTAGCCTTAAACTGGCGGTTCTCAACTTGTGGGTCACGATCCCTTTAGGGGTCAAACGACCCTTTCACAGGGGGCGTCTTATATCTGATATTTATATTACAATTCATAACAGTAGCGAAATTACAGATATGAAGTAGCAAGGAAAATAATTTTATGGTTGGGGGGTCACCACAACATGAAGAACTGTATTAAAGGGTCATAGCATTAGGAAGGTTGAGAACCACTGCTCTAAACTATGCTTTTTGAAACCTCTTCAAAAACAATTCACTCATTTTAAAGTAACATCCTCAAATAATTACAATTACCCTAAGAACTTTATTCTATGTTAATTAGTGGGTAATCATTAGTTTTGAAATATTTACAAAATTTAGCATATGTCTGTATTGATCCATTAATTTCATTATAACAGTATTATTATTCACAGTTGATTCTATGCAATAGACTCATCCTTGAAGACCATTTTAAAGAAAAACTGCTCAGTGAAATTGGTTCTTCTGTCATGGGTCTGTTGACTTTGGCTAGCTTTTAAAAGTCAATGTTTACTGATTCTACTTTGAAAAGAGACCAAACGTAGATACTCACCAGTTGCCCAAATTAGATTATTTTTTCCCTGAATAAGTTTGAGTATTTATTAGCTTCCAGCTATAACTTTCTCAGACAATGTTACCTTCACAATTCCTTAGAAACTTTTCTGAGTTTCAAAGGACATTCCTAGTCTCCCTGTCAAGTAATTAGCTAAAACTTTCACTACTAGAGTTTAACCATTAGAATTGCTAGGAAAAACTAATGAAGTAACTGGAAGTTGTAATTTCCACTCATGTTAATTTGGAAACTTACATGGGAATCCCTCTTCCCACAGCTGCTCATTTGTGAATGTTCTTCAGCCAAGGTTTGCAGGTATCCTTGAAATGCTCTCTCAACACAGCAAGCTGCCTGAAGGTGGTTTTTACTCTCAGTAGGGGAAAAATTTTTTAACAGTCTTCAGCATTAGATCATCAGAAGGTACCAAAAAAATAAAGTAAAAATATGATGTAGCAAAGACTAAAGTTGGCCACTTTGTACAAGTTTCCTTGAAATATTTTCATTTTAGTAATTCCTTGAACAGAATGGCAGGGCATGCTTTAAAATATTCCTCCTAATTTGTACTCATTGTAATTTCTACCATTTCTTAAATTAATGGCTTACTTCATGATTAAAATACTTTTAGATTGAGTCTGAAACAGCAGCTTCTGAGGAAACGCTGTTCAGTGCCTCCCAGCGCATCAGTGAGCTAGAGAGGAATGTGGAAGAACTTAAGCGGAAGGCTGCCCAGAACTCTGGGGAGGCAGAATATATTGAAAAAGTGGTATATACCGCCAAACAAAGTGCAGAAGATGTTAAACAGGTAAGCGAATCTTTGTAACTTTTAAGAGCTATATTGACAAAGGAACAACCAGCCTCCTCCTTGCTGTCCTTAGAATTAATCAGGAAAGGAACTAATAGGGACATTCATCAGAAACCTCTCTTGAAACAGTCCTTAGAGATGCCGGTAGTGGATATGGAAGTGTCCAGTATGACCTAGGCCCTCAAATCTAAACTCAGATGAGTCTAGAAGAATGAAATTCATTTAACTTGGGGGTGGAAATCTTAACAGGCATACTGAACTTTATTTTTGTACTATATTTCAATTAGGAAGACCTTCATGGCATATAGGAATTACCTGGCCATGTGAGAATACTTTAAAAGCAGAGTGGAAAAACCTTAGTTCATTACAGAGAACAGGCAGGGGGAAACTCAATCTTACTTCTTTCACACTCATTTTTAATTAACCACCTCTTGCTGCTCAATGGAAGGCACTACAGTTTGCAGAGAAAATCTCACACAACCCAAATTTTTAGCCAGAAATAGTAATTTCATGTGTTTTCGGCTTCTAAATTTGTGGGGTTTTAGAAGAGGACTTCTAAAAGTTCTCTTGGTTAAGAGCTGGGGAAGGGAGATGGATAACTGTTAAATGACTTAAATTCTGTTTATAACTTTTACTATTCAAAAATTTTCCTGGAAATTACTACAGCTCTTACACATTCCATAGAGTAACTCTCCGACATCTAGGAGTTGGAGAACAATGAGAAAAGTTCACTGTCAGGATATCAGGCAGCTATCTTTTCTGTTACAGTTTGTGTCACCCTGCAGATTTTGAGGGCCTGTCTACTATAGGGCATTCTGCATAATGGTATTTGTTACAAAAAAGAACAAAAATCCTTTTGAAAATTCTATATTTGCTATTGTTTTAAATTTCTAAAATGACTCATTTGCAACCATCTTTCCAAACCATACCTCGTATCTTTTTCTCATCCACTTTTTGTGTATGCTA